TGTATTTTTGATAAAAAATGTATTTTAAAGTTGAGAAATTCATTTATTTATTATTCCTATAGCAGATATTATACCAGTAACTAATTTGTCAAAAATTTTTTATTTTTTTGTTTTTTTTTTTTACTTCTGGTAGAGGTACCAGAACATTTACTTCAAATCAAAGATTTCAAAAAAATTTTCGGTGTAGGTACCTAGACTCACTCTCAACTTCGTTACAAACCCAGTTAATATTAAGAACACTGAAAATAATTCTTTCACGCACTCTTAATATGTGCTCATAAATACTCATATACGTGTAATTTGTAGCAATTACAACATCGACAATTGCGAAACCAAATTCGAGATCACTTCTTTTTCGTTGACCAAAATAAACTCATAAGTAATCACTGATGAGTGCTATTATGATCGCATCGAAATTTTCACCTCCTCTGTCACTTGCACTTCACACAATTCGAAGCACTAGTCCGCGACTTACCTCCAAATCTCTCCGGACGTCGACGGACTCTCGCAGTTATTTCGTCGTGGGTCCTCTTCGTTAACGTGCGGTCACGGTGCTCACTACCTGATGGTCAAAGAAACACTGCCAACGGATAACTCGAGAGTGGAGAATAAGAAGCGGCGAACGATAACACCGCGAAACACACTCGCGCTGGTTGCACTAGGAAGTTGCTAGCGCCAGGCACCGTCGTCCAGAACTCGTAACGATCAAGGAATAAAATTGAAAAAAAATCGAAAGTAACAATAATAACAATTGATTATTATTATTATTATAATTATGAATGGCAATAATAATTTTGCACCATTAAAAGTGCAAAGTAATGACGTGGGGTGGTGGTTAGAGTACGCGGATCAGAAGCGGACTCGGCCGCTGCTTCGGTGTGTACCATGTTTAAATAGTGCCGGGAGCGGGGGGGACCCGGTTGCCGTTCTTGGGCAACGAGTTGTCCGTGATTGGCCCGCCCTAGGGTAGAGAAGAAGTCGCCGGAGCGCCGGGTGCTCTCGCGCGACAACGACGCCCCGCGCCGCATCTCACCGAAGAAGCGACGGCGGACGTCGCGTGTCGATTTTGTTTTACTGTTGTTACTACTGGATCGTCTTCGGCGACAGACGTCAAGGTCACGGTCGTCGTCGTCCTCGTGGATACAACAAAAGCGCACGATGAGACCGGCCAAATTTCGGCATGCGAAACTAATCGTTGCACCGCGAAGTCGCACAATTCGACTCGTAAATCTTAAGAATCGTTTGCGTTTTTTTTTTGCATGAACATAATGAAAGGATTACTTCTAAATTGGCAAACTGGCAGGATTCTTGTTTGACTGATTTTTACTACCACAGTATAATTTATATTTGCGTACTTAAAATGTGAAGCTTGTTGTAAGAATTTTTTTATAGGACGAGCGTTAACTGTTGTGTCATTTTGCATTAAACTAAACTTGAGTTTTGAAATATTTGAATATACAAAATCGTATCTTGGCAATCAATATTAAAAAAATGTAACTTCAAAAGTTTTGCATAAGCTTTTATTAAAAAAACAAAACCTAGATTTAATTAGGTGTTTTAATATCCAGATACTTGGATATACAAGTATTTGAAGTTTTAAATAACAAATATTTGGATATTTAAATACATAATTGAAAAGGTTTTTAAAATATTTAAATTTCAGAAGTTTTTTTCGAAATATTTGATTATGGAAATGACGAACTGTGGATATTCAAGTACTTGAATATATAAACAAATCGAATGCAATTCTGAATCCTAAAACAAAACTAGCGGTTGCTGATGTAATTTGTTTTTACTAGTCCTTAAACAAGCAATATTTAAAGGAAAATATTTCAATACTAATTTCAAAATTAATGGGCTGAATAAAATAACATCGATGAGATATAAGATATTCACAGGTATAAATTATATGGTTGTAAAACTATATCAAAATTGTGATTTTGTGATTTGGTAAAAGACAGAGTCCAAGAATTTTTCTTAAGATTTTCATTGCAAAATTTTGTATGCACAATTTTGTTTTGTCGATAAATTTACCACGTTGACCATAGGTTTCTTATTAATTTTCCTGTAATCTATGTGTAAAGTTTTTGTATTTTTAAAAAACTTCAGGTTCAGTAGTTTTGGAATAAGGAGAGAAGAATGGTCAATTTTCACCTATTTTCATAAATAACTATTTATTTTAAAATTATAAAAAATTATATATATGAGA